CGTTGCCAAGGCACTCTCTGCTTGCAGCTGCCCTCCCTTAGTCCTTATCCCATGCAGGATGGGACTTATGGAAACATGACATATGTAAGCATCTGTGTTGGTTTGCGGCAGAGGAAAAAACACCGATGGCTAAAACCACTTCCTTGCTACAAAGACAAGGTCTGTCGGCTGCATTTGTACTTGCTCAGGAACCCTGGGGACACTTCGGCCTCAGCCCTCTTCACTCAATGCTCGACCAGCTTGAGGGATACGAATCCTTGCAGGTTGCTGAGATCGCTTCCCAAGGCGAACTCAACGTGGAGGGATCCATGGAAATGGGGATCTCCCCCTTTTGCATGGGCACAATGCGTGGGTCAAGGATTCTCAGATAGCCGGTCTCACTCTTACCTCGGGGCTTTGGCCTCCTCGGACCTGCAGGAGATGACCTAGCACTGTATGAACTTTTCAGTGTCCTCTATAGTGGAGTTGCCCCAATCGCCCGGCTTGTTTTCGGTTCTTGAATCATATCCCACCTTCGGTCTTACACCTTTTCTTTTGTTAACCGCTTGGATGCTCCAATTTCTCTCCCTAGAGGAGAAAACTCTTGGTGAAGGATGGGCTCTCATGGGCGACCTAATTTCGAGCTCACAGAGGCATTTCTTGCTCTGCCGGTGGCTGCGTCTCGTCCATTCCATTCAATTACATGGCCACATGCCTGCCTCCATAAAGACCAGCCATACGGTTCTCATTTCCCAAGACGAGGGATTAATAACTCTCGTCAAGAACCTTGCGCCCTATTACCCTCACGACCGTCCAGATTACAAGCTGCTGGCTTTTATCCTTGCTCGCCGCCTCCAATCTTCTCTGGGGAAGGTGATCCGCCCCTCGCAGTTCGCTTTCCTTAAGGGCCACAGAATTGGAGACACTATTAACGATACTCTTGGTTTGATGGAGTGGGCCTACTGCTTCCAAGGCTCCGTTGCTGGTTCTTACTGTTGACATTAGGAAAGCCTATGACATGGTCGATAGAGAGTTCCTCTTCGCCTGTCTTTCCCACATCGGCCTTCCTGCCTTCTTTTATCAGGCTGGGTAAGAATACTTCATGAGGGCTCTTCCACTCAGATCTCCATCAACAATCACCTCGTACGTCCTTCCCGGTCTGCTCGGGTGTCAGACAATGCTGCCCCCTGGCCCGCTCTTGTTCATCTGTGTGATTGAGATCATGCAGCAGCACCTCTCTCTGTTTCTTCCTAGTTTCCCTTTCTCCCTTCTCAGCGCCGCCTTCTTGCAACATACACGGGCAATGTGTCAATTTTCCTGAGTTCTCCTGCTGGCCTGCTGATAAACAGCAAGCCCTTCATCCCTTTGTCGAGGTGTCTGGAGAGCACCCTAACTGGTCAAAGTGTGCTAGCTTGCCGGTCAATATTCCTTCAACATGATTGATGGTAGTTTTCTCTCCTCTGACGAGGGTATGGTTATGAGGATGATACAAAAATCTCTGTTGTGTAATAAGAAGAGGCACGGTGGCTTGGGCGCCACCCCTCGTTCCACCATTATACACGCGTTAAACATCCAGCATGCGCTCCGCAGCTTCACCCCTCCCCTTTGGAAGTCATTGCACGCTCGTGCATTACACTTCCTTTCGGCCGCATAGCTTTCTCGCACATCCTGATCTCTCAAAATCTCTTGGGAGTGGAGTTTCGGTCCGAGCCAAGCCGAGCTAGACAGCTGCCTCTCCCTCTCACCTGTCATTCTTCCCCCTCCCCTGATTCCCTGGTGCCTACTGGCTGAACCGATAGCCTTCAATAGATGGCTCCTGAAAGCTAATGATAACTGTTCGGACGTCTGAAACATAAAAAATCCCAATTGCAAAATCAGATTCGCCTGGGACATCTTGTAGTTCTGATCCTAGGCGGCATAAGGGAACTCCCAACAGGATTTCATGATCTTCTTCCCTCCCAGCTCCTTCCCCAGCTGTAGGACTTGTATGAGGAAATATGTGTCGCCGTTCCTAGAGCCTGGTGGCATGCTCTATGCAGTTTTTCCCCTGAATCTCACCCTCTTTCTCCATATGACTGGGTCTTCAAAGCTTCCACTCGTCAGTTCCTTCCCTCCTCCATCCTTTCTTTCGTCACTCCTGAGTTCTCCACTGGCAACCGTCTTCCATCATCACGTCGTCACTGCAGAGGGGTGGGTAGCAGAGGAGGCGAGTGAGTGCTGTTGATTAACGCGGTCTGTAGATATCCCCACATGGGTCCAAGACGACCGGTTCTTTGGCTCACTCTGCCATGGCCCATGAGTCTCTGGGAGAATTGAGATGCTGCATAAAGGATTTCCTTCTCTTCCAGTAACCAGCAATCTGCTATACTCACCAGCACCGCTCACCTTTCATTTGTGCTAGAAAGAAGATCTCCCTTTGGCCCTGCCGTCGGTTCCGTTGTTGCTCCATCCTTTACATTTTGCAAATAGACCAGCAAGCAATGCGCCCTGCTGTGTCGTCCGTATGCTTTCGCTCTCCCCGCCGGCTTCTGCTTCAAGTTTACCACCTCCGGGGTCCACTGCCCCTCGTTGCCTGCCATCGAGACATTATTCTTCGCTTTGGCACTGCTCCCCTAGTCATTTCGGCTCTTCAGAGAACAGCCCGTGATAATCTTGGTCTCTCTTCTTCAGCAGAACAATTTCTCTTCCCTCCACCTATACTGCGTGGTTGCTATGCCCCCTATAGTCTCCTAGTTGGTGCTGCTGCAAAGGCGCTATGGACTTCCCGCTGCGATCAATTTCACGACTGGCCTGCTAAGCACCCTATGGTGATTCTCGATTCTATCCTGGGTTTCTTCCTTATTACCTGTAAACTCTTCTTTCACAATCGGCCTCGACTCTTGGCGAAGAAACGTCGTTCTCTTGCACTACGTATTCGATTTGCAAGGAAGAAACGTCTCTTATGCTTTCTGCTCAAGGGACTACCTCCACTCACAATGACCTGCGACGGACTTGGCTTTGTTTTAATCCAGTCTGCCCTCCTTAGCTCTCGCATGTGCCTCTTTAGCGAAGTCAGTACGGGGTTGGAAATGTTCGGTTTCAAGCTAGTCCGCTAGGCAGTCAACTCATTTCCGTAGTTCCTTCTCTGGAATTCGGGCCTCTGGCCCTTTCCTGCCCCTTGTTACTGTATCTGGTTAAGACCATTAATAGAACTCATTAAAACTAAAATCACACTTGGTGGGATTGTGAGCTGCTGTCGTGCTCGAAGCGCATGGGGCTCAGAGAAGCGAGGGGCTCAGAGAAGCGTGATTCCTTGAATGCCTTGCCTCACACATCGCGAGTCTAGAGGTGCTCTTGGAGGGAATCACCCTCACATCCAGGCAAGCAGGCAAGAAGCACACACAGCAAGAGGCAGCTATGGTAGCGTTTAGCTTGCTTGCTCAGCATGCCACCCGGCGTTCTATTTTCACTCATGAGTTTTACTGCTGCTAACGGCCAGGATACTAGTAACTTACTATGGCGGCAATTCTAGGTGGTTCCCTTGGCAACCCCCCGGCCCGCTCGCCATCCTGGTCTTCCTCGAAGCCTCGCTGGTCACCCAAGCGCTGCTCCCGCCACACCCACCATGCGCGGAGGCTTCAGACAATAAAGCACAGCGCATGGGAGCCGAGGACAAGGACTGCTCGGCGCGCTCAGCGCGGAACGCACAAGGCCCTCCACTGGGGGAACAAGTGGCATGCGCTGCTGCCACGCATTGCGACGACATCCCCTCAGCTGCCCTTCCGCGGCGGCACGACGCGCCATGGGTGGCGGCCCACGCAGCATGTATGGCGCTGCTGCTCGTGTCACCGCTTTTCGCGCTCCAACAGCCGTCCCTCGCCACCCTCGGCTTCTTCCTCCCCTGCGCCCTCTTTCCTCCCCCCCCCCCCCCCCCCTTCCCCCTCAACCGACTCCACGGAAACCTGACCCCTCGTGTCGTTACTGTATCGTGCGTCGTCAGCAGCATTGTTCTGTTGATCTCATAGGGGCTAGGCTCCTCCTATCTGGTCTTAAAAGAACATTGCGTTGATTACGTACCTAATTTACTCCACCAAGTTGGTTGTTTGCCTCTTATTGCTGCTCCTCACAGGCTTTGCATCAGCTCCTCCCTAATGTCACATCCATTATAGCCATGCTATCCAGTAGGCGTTTTCGTTCGACTCAGGAGTCCTCATTACAATCGCATTGCAGGGGGTGGTGTTTCTCAATTTTGTCACACCCATTATGCAAGCGAGATCAGACTAGCTCGGCTACTTTAACGACTTGCAATAGCAAGTCGGCCGAACCCTTTATACGACTGAAGGGACATAGATTGCACTAAAAAGTAGTCGTTCACTCACAGTTTAAGAACATTGCCAACTTGTGAAATTGTGAAAGAATATGCTATGGAAACAAAACTTTGTATCCGATGACTGTTGCATATATTATTGTCTCTTTGGATTCATTGCAGCAGTCTAAATATATGTATATACTCGTAATATTCAATATTAATCAAATTGTCCTAACATAAAAAGGCTTTCCTTTTAGTGCACTTAACGTATGAGATAAGAATACTAAAAGATAAGTGTTGGAGATATATGCAGTCTTCCCTGGTCAACAGCTGTCATTCAGCTCTTTCCCGCTGCGCGTTCTTTCGAGTCAGCCCGTTACCCACTGGCTGTGCGAATTTAGGGTTTAGGGCAACATCGCATCACCTTCTTCGTGAAGCTACCAGCACATTCATGCGACGTGTAGCGATAGAGATGGCGAGCTTTGTCCCCGTCATCCACGAAAATTGTCCCCTTCAACTTTGCGAGCCCTCAGGTTTCGCCCCTCTTCCCCTCCGCCCGCCCCACCAACCCCCGCTCTCAGAATCCCAATTCCCCCGCCCGCGCGGAATGCCCCCTTCCTTCTCAGACTCCCCTGTCCCTTTCTTCCCTCCCCACGTCTTTTCCCGCCTTCACAACCACCCCCATCCCAGCTTACCTCCCCTGCGAGTCGTTCTAACGCTACCACTCCCAACGGTACATAAGGCCAGCCACGGACAGCTCCTACTTCACTACATTTCGCAATCTCCGCTTATAATCAAGTTCTTGGGACCTCTAGTGTTATATTAGTCTCCATTAGCCTCGTTTGTGGCGCCATTTTCAGTCCTACCCGGCTTAAATCCAAAATGAGTGAAAGGATTCCACTAACGAGTACTCCATCCGAGCCTGAAGGGTCATATTCCCCTCCGTCCCCACACTCGCCGGAGCACTCGTCGCACTCGTCGCACGACGGCGGCGACATCAAGGTCACCGTCGCAGAGAAGCTCGTGTCGCACGCCGACTTCCCTCCGCTGAAATCGCCGGAAAAGGAGGAACGGAAAGGGGCAGAAGGCATAGACGCAACGTCCGGCGGCGGCTGGAACGAGTTCGACCAGTCGTCCGCCATTTTCAACTTCCACGAGCGCCCCGTGCGTGACGCGGGATGGCGCTTCGTGTTCCTCGTGCCGCTCGTGCTGCTCGTCGCCATGGGCGCGCTCTCCCTCGTCGCCGCGCTCTTCAACCCCCCCTCCTCTTCACCTTCCTCCTCACCCCGCTCGTCCTCCTCCTCCTCTTCGCGCTCAGCCTCCCCCTCCCCCTGCTCCTCATCTCTTCTCTCCGCGGAATGTCGGCGCGCGCCTTGAAGGTGCTTTTCATCATCGCCGCCGTCCTTTGCGTGCTGCAAAGCGCCAACTCCTTCGTGCGCTTCCTCGCGTCGCCGCTCGAGCCGTCGGTTGCGGAGCAAGGTCCGTACCCGACGTACGAGGCGGTGTATTCTCCGGGCAGGGATGGGTCGTCGAGCGATTTCTCGGTGGACACCGACATTGCTGAAAGCGCAGAGGGCGAGAGCGGCGAAATGATGGCGGGCGTTGGCGGGGACATGATGGCGGCAGCGATGGGCGAGGGGGGCATGGAAGGGGGCATGGAAGGGGGCATGGAAGGGGGCATGGAAGGGGGCATGGAAGGGGGCATGGAAGGGGGCATGGAGGGGGCACCGGAAGGATGGGTGGAGGTGCAGGAGGGTCCGTCATCAGCAGCGGGGAGCAGCGCTGATGACGCCGCAGCAGTGGCGGACAGCAGCAGCAATGCGGCGTCTACTAGCAGCAGCAGCAGCAGCAGCAGCACGTCCGTTAGCGATCTCGGAAGGGGGCTCCTGGAGCTCTCTCTGCCCGCCATCGCACACCCGGTGGCAGCCGTTACAGCGCACCACACCGCCCACTGGGCACGCGCCGCCCACTCCATGGTGCACCGCCAGCTTTCAGACCGCGCGCCAGTCAAGAGGAGAAGTGAGCGCGAGCGCGGGCGGTCCCTGCAGGACCTGGCGATGGTGCCCTTCATGGCTTTTGGGTTGGCCGACTTCGCGATGCGCCCTCTCTATTTCATCGCGTTTGTGTCCTTTGCGCTCCTCAGCGCCCTCGCGCTGCTCCTCGTGCTGCGCTACAGCCACCACCTGTCACTCGCCGCCTCTGCCATCGCGCACATCGCCCATGCCACCATCGCCCAGGCCCCCGTCATCCTCTTTATGGCGCTCCCCGTTATGCTTGCAGCGCTGTTGCTCGCCCTCCCTTCGATAGATTATAGCAGCCATCTCGTCCTGTCGATCCTCCTGTTGCCCTTCTTCGCCTTCGCCCTCCAAGTGCTCGCAACACTCTTCATCTACTCGGTGGCAGCAATCTACGCGCGATTGTACGTCACAAACAGCAGCAGTAGCGACAGCAGGGGGGCAGCGAGGGCATGCAGGGTGGGGAAGGGAAGGAGCGCATGACAGTCAAGGGCCAGCTGGAGCTCTTCTGCTCCGCTTTCTCCCTCGCATGCACCTCCTCCCTGGGCACCTGCTGCGCCATTGCCGCTGCTGCCATCGCCGCCACCATCGTCAAGCTCATCCTATCCGGCCTCGGCCTCGCTCTCTTCGGCGACAACGTGATCGGCTGCCTGCTGGGGGTGCTGCTGCGCTGCGCGGAAGTCGCCATCCAGTTCTTCCTGCACTGCCTTGTGCTCCCCACCAGCGCCATGAGCGGCCATGGCTTCTCCCGCTCTGTGCGCCTCTCGCTTGACATTCTGCAGCGCTTCCCCGTGCCCATCGTTGCGGTGAATGCCTCCGCGCTGGCCCTGCTTGTCATGGTGATGGTTCCCGTGTTCCTCATCAACCAATTGATCGGCCTCTTCGGGGTGAGTACACTGTTGCCGCGCACTGCTTTCATGCGTGTACCTCTTTGGGGTGAGTACACTATCAAATTCCTGCACTCATTTTGATATTACTAGTGAAGAAGTTGAGCTTTAACTTTGACTTTCCTTGTCGTGCTTTATGTGCAGGGCTTTGGTTGGTCGCTGTTTTACCAGGATCCTGGGTTGTATCAGCTAGCTGGTTTGATGGTTCTCATTGTCGGAATCTTGGCCGCTTTTGCAGTGTCTCTTCTCTCCATGGTAGCGCTCTCCTTCGTCCTCACTACAGGTGTCGCCACTGCAGTGCTGTGCTTTGCGTGGGACAAGAAGCTAGATGCGGAAGAGGGCTCTGATGCCGCAGGCTTGGTTGCAGGCAGTTCCCTATCGTCTGTCGACTTAAAGGCCAATGGCGAGGTTTAGATTGCATTGAGCATCTCTTATGTTTTGCTTACTGACTTCAATTGTGATGCTTTGTAATATACTAAGCTCACCTAGTGGGCGCAAGTAGTTAACATTGTTGAAAAGGACTTACCTTGAAAAAAGAGACGAAATAGGTCTCCTAACAGAATGCTTGTATCGAATCAATTATTCACCAGCAGCAGCTGCTGCTTTCCTGCACCGCACGCCATCGCGCCACGCACGCAACTCACCTGCCCCTGCAGCAGATGCCCAGGGCGCCATGCAAGCTCAGTTGACTACCTTTATCGGGGATAACGGCAGTCATTTCCTGCGCTCCATTCGTAATGAGTCTGTACCTGGACCGCAGCCGGCTGCCACGGCAACCGCACTCGGCGGGATTGTGAGGCGTGCCCGCAGCGGACGGGGCTCGGGGGAAAGCAAGCGGCGCGAGTCAGGAGGTGCCTTGTCACGTGCAGGCGAGCAGGCGAGAGGCGCGCATAGCAAGAGCTCCGTCAGCCATGAGACACACGCACACAGCGCCACCTTGCTTGCTCTGCACGCCTCTCAACATTCCACTTTCGCTCATTAAGTACTGCTGCTGACGCCCACGATAGTAACTTTCTATGGCGTCAATTCCAGGTGGCTCCCGCGCCGCCGCGCACGCCACTGCCGCGCGCGCCATCCCGGTCTTCCTCGAAGCCTCGCCGGCCACCCAAGCGCTGCTCCCGCCGCATCCGCCGGATCCGCCGCACCCGCCGCGCGCGGAGGCTTCAGACGATGAAGCGCAGTGCGCGGGAGCCAGGGACAAGGATCACTCCGCGCGTTCAGCACGGACCGCGCAAGCCCCCCCACTGGGGGCACAAGTGGCCTGCGCTGCTGCCGCGCATTGCGGCGGAATCTCCCCCGCCTTTCCGCAGCGCGACGCGCCATGGGCGGCGGCCCTCGCGGCGTGCATCGCGCTGCTGCTCGTCCACGAGCTCGCGTCGCCGCTTTTCGCGCTCCAACGGCCGTCCCTCGCCGCCCTCGCCTTCTTCCTCCCCTGTGCCCTCTCCGCCCTCCTCCTCTCCCTGCCCCCCTCCCGCTTCGCCCTCAGCCGACTCCACGGAAACCTGACCCCTCGCGTCGTTACTGTGTCCTGTGTCGTCAGCGGCGTTATTCTGCTAATCTCATGGGGTCTAGGTGTCTCCTATCTGCTCTTTTGGAAGGATACTGCGCCGATTACATACCTAATTTACTCCACCGATTCTGCTGTTTGCCTCTTATTGCTGCTCCTCACCGTCCTCCCGTTTGTGGCTTTGCAGCAGCTCCGCCCTACTGTCACATCCGTTATAGCCCACGCCATCCAGTTGGCGCTTTCATTTGATTCAGGAGTCCTCGTTACAATCACATTGCAGGGGGTGGTGTTTCTCGTTATTGTCACACCCATTATGCAAGCGAGCTCTGACTATCTCAGCTGCTTCGGCGATTGGTCCATTGGTAACACGTGTTACGTGGATGGCAGGCTGGTTACACCAATCCGTTATCCCTCAATCCTCACCATTCCCTTGGCTTTCATTGCCATCTGGTTTCTACTCGCTACAGTCACATCCGCTGTATTCACTGTATCAGCGAGGTTCGTCCTAGCATACGCAGCTGAATTAACTGGCAGCGGTGGTAGCAGCAGCAGCAGCAGCAGCAGCAGCAGCAGTGGGGTTGGGAGTGGTGGGATGTGCTCTGTGCCTCGCGGTGCTGGTGGTGCGAGTGAAGCTGCTGTGGGTGCGCCAAGTGATGAGCCCGTGAGGCAGCATGGGTGGTGGCAGCATGGGTGGTGCCAGCATGGGTGGTGGCAGAGAATAGTGCAGGTGGCCAAACAGGACAGGTCTGTGTGTGGGGAGGGGGGGGCTTGGGTGTGGGTGGGGGTGTTTTTATCTGTGTGAGAATTTACGGGGAGGGGGATGGTGGGAGGGAGGAAGGAGCGGAGGGAGGGAGAGACGGAGGGGAGGTAAGGGAGAGGGGGTGAGGGACGGACAGATAGTCGAAATGTGCTGTTTCCTTGTATCTGTGTTTCCTTGTATTTGTGTTTCCTTGTATCTGTGTTTCCTTGTATCTGTGTTTCCTTGTATCTGTGTTTCCTTGTATCTGTGTTTCCTTGTATCTGTGTTTCCTTGTATCTGTGTTTCCTTGGATCTGTGTTCCTTCTGCTTCCCTCCCACGTGCGTCGTCTTCACTTCCTCTCATAATCAGATATTCTCATCACACAGCTCTTGCCTCACCGCACTCCGCCCCTCCCTTTCTTTGCCCGCTTTCCTCCCCCCAGCGCGGTCATGAGGGCTGCCATGGGCCCTGCCAGCGCCATCGGCTGTGCCGCCACCGCCACGGTGCTCCTCGCTGCACTCACCAGCATGTCACTGCACGGCAGCCTGGGGGCGGGCGTTGCTGCTGTGATGGCCACAGGACTGCTTGTCTGGACTGCTGCTGCTGCCCTCTGCTTCCTCTACTGGTGGGTGCCCTGGGTTCTATGGGTGCGTGCCACTGGTTTGTGTGCCACATTAGTCAGCGTCACTCAAGTCCCCTGCTTACCCACATCCTGCTATTCCCCCGCCTTCCTTCTCTCCACTCCCCATGCCTTGGCCCTCCTTCCCAGCCTCGTGCTCCCCCTCATCACCATCACAGGACTTAGTTTCTCCCGCGCTCTTCAGCTTGCCATCCGTGTGTTACCAAGCCGTGCCCCAGTCCTTCTCCTCACTCTTGCTGCTGCACTGCCGCTGCTGCTGCCCGTGGCGCTGCTCACTCTCCTCGTCGTTGGGTTCGGTGGGGTAAGCTCTCTTACCCATTGCTTTGAAACATTGTCTGAATAATCTCCTCACACCCTTGCCAGAACATGTCGGTTTATTGCAGAAGCAGGGTCTTTTTGCTTGCTTGCTGCTTCGTTTTCACACACCCGGTTTCCTGTTCTTATAATGAGACCTCGCAAAGCACCTGCTGCTGCCTCTTGCCCCACTGCAGTCAGCTGTGGCCTACGTCTTCATGCTTCTGCTGTCCCCTCTGCTGCAACAAGTAATGGGGCCATGGAACATGCTTGCGCTGTTCGTCCAGGCAGCCATACTGAGCTTCGTTACTGGGGCAATTTCTACCATCGTGCTTGCGTGTATCATTGTCAGCGGCACAGTATCGCTTAGCTCCTCTGAGGATCCTGACTTAGCAGGCATAGAGAGAGGGGCTCATGCTTGCATGCTCCCCCCACCACAAACAACCCCTCTTTGTGCCACCAACTCTGTATAGTACAGAACATAATAAATTTGTGTACGTCATGTGTTCCTTCCGAGAGATGCAAACAGAGAGTTTTTAGGTGCCTATGTCAACTTGCTTATGATGCAGCTGCGCCTAATGTCCAGCTGCATCTATTGTGGAGTGGGAGCAGCAGAGAGCAGGTCGCTGATCTGGGCGGTGTAGAAGTCAGGCTGGATGGTGTTGTCAGGGCTGTTGAGGGTCTCCAGAGTCGTCACTCCTGGTGCAGCAGCAGGAGAACATTGCAGCAGGGCGGACGAGTTGACATGGAATGCAGACAAGGAGGGTGCAGGGGGCAGGAATACACTGATGGCAGGCAAAAGACATCACGGCTGCAACTAACTTGATGGCATGAGACCTGAGACCACATGCAGCACACCAGAAAGCACGAGCAGCGGGCGGCAGTCGCACCTGAGAGCACGAGCAGCGTGCGGCAGTCGCCATTCTGGCCAAAGAGAATGTCGGTGTCAAGGCGGTCGCCCACCATGCAGATCTGGTTCTTGGCGATGCCAAACCTGGGGGGGGATGAGGGGGGGAAGCGATGTGACTCGTGAGTGAGGTGGCCCGTTGTGAAACCGGACGGCTTGCCCCAACAACTAATCTGATGGACATTGCCCTGCCTCACAGCGTGTGTGCGCGCCAGGTAGTCCTCATGACTTTTGAGGCGCCTCAAAGGACGGCTTGCCCCAACAACTAATCTGATGGACGTGGACGGCTTGCTCGCCACCACGAGCTCCTCCTTCGTTGACCCGTTCATGGTGCCCACCATCTTGTTGCTCTCTCGTCCCCCCTTACTGTTTGCCCTTATCCTTTCCACCCCTCACTCACTTCTGGGCAAGATAATCCATCATGAAGGTGGAGGGCTTGCCCACCACCACGGGCTCCTTCTTGGTGGACCCCTTGATGGCACCCACCATTGTGCCACCGCCCGCCCACTCCTGCGCGTCCGTCAGGTGCGTCACGGCGTCGCAGTTGGTGGCGATGAACAGACAGCCAGGGTTCTCACGCAGGCACAGAGTGGCGTATCTGGAGGGGGTGAGGACGGGAGGGAGGGCAGGCAGAAGGGGAGGGTCATGTTGTCAGGCGCATCACTTCATCCAAGTTGGTGGTGATGAAGAGGCACCCAGGGTTCTCTCGCAGGCACAGGGTGGCGTATCTCGATGACTTTTGAGTCGACTCAAAAGTCACAGGGTGGCGTATCTGGAGGGGAAGAAGGACGGGAGCAAAGACGATGAAGGATGATGGTGTGTGCCAATGGAACAGGAGGCGATACAGATGCAGTGAGTGAGAAGAGTCGATCGATACGGGGGCAAGTGGAGGCAATGAGAGGTGCAGCAGGAGTGACTCACTGCAGCTTGTAGTAGTTGACGTAGCGGTCAAAGCCCACCACCACTGCTCCCACCTGGAGGGGAACGAGCGGGATGTATGGGTTGGTGGCATGCGTGAGATGCGTAGGGTGGCACGCATGGCGCTTGGCAACATGGAGCTGGCCGGACGTCATTGCTCAGCAGGCAACTTCCCAGCTAGTCACAGCAGTAATTCTGGCGTGATATTTCTCTCTACAGCCCAGTTATGCATGCGTGCATGTGCACAACTGTATGTCGTGCGACCTCTCTCAGTGCATTTACCTCCGTGCTCCATCTACTCACATCAGCGTCATGCTCCATGTATTTGCCCAAGCCCAGGTCGATTGACTTCTTCCCATCCTCCTGCAAACCACCCCAGCACAACGCACCACGGATGCACACAGACATCCACAGTCATGAAAGTTGAAAACGAGTCAAGAAAGAGTGGGAAATTGAAAAGTGGCACACTACAAAAAGTTTCAGTGAGCGCAGAAGAGAGTTCTAGCAGTTACCATCAGGCCTCCCATGTTAAATGCTGTACCCATCTATACTTCCCAGCCTCTTGTGCTGTCAAGGTTAATGCGGGTGCATGGCATGGTACTCACCGGGCCTCCGATGTGGTTGATGCCGGCGAGGTCGAGCTCGAGCTGGATGCCCTGCTCGCCCATCACGTACACCTTCTTGTCCGCCGGGAAGTTGATCGACGTCAAATACGCCGCCGCTGCGAACGACGAAGCGAATATCTCCTCCTGAGACACAGGGGGAAGGTGCAGGGGAGGGGAGGGGTCGTGACAGTAAGGTCAGTTCGGGTTCTTCTCGTGCAATCGTCTCTTTCCTGCAGTTTGTGAAAAGTGCCGAGTGAGATTCTCTCCCTCCTTCTGCCCAAATGTCCGCCCAAGCCACCCTCCCTCAAGCCACCCCCTCTCCCCACACCCACCCTCAGCGACTAACAGCCATGCGACCATCAGTCTTGCGGGCGCAGTGACCTCACCTCAGTGACGGCGAGGCCCAGCGACTCGAACTTCTTGCCGTACTGCTTGCGCGACTTGGTCGAGTTGTTCGTCACGAACACCAGTCGCTTGCCCTGCGACGTATGCGAGATAGGGTTACTCGGATTAGCGAACTTCATGTGTTAGTATGCCTGACACTACTGGTGTATTCGTGTACAACGAAAAACGGGTAACCAGCAGGGAATTCGGCGAGTTACCATTGCTCGCAGCATGTCAAGGGTCTCCGGCACTCCGTCGATGAGCTTATCGCCCTTCCAGATCACACCTGAGGACAGACGGTCAGATATGTGCGCATGCGGTGCGAGGGACATGATATGAGGGACATAGTCCATGCACATTATGAGGGAATCAAACAAATCAACAATAAGACACGTGACATGCATGCGTGTCCGTGCATCTACCCGAGCATTCTCGTTCGCGAGAGCCGCCATCCTCGCAAAGCACCGTCGCAGTCGCAAGAGGAACGTCTCGACGCTGTGGATCAGCGCGCGCGCGGTGAGAGGCATGGTGCGTGCAGCGGTTCATGCACGTTGAGAACAGTGCATCACTGCGGTCGTACCGTCGCAGTCGAAGAGGAACGTCTCCACGCTGTCGATCAGCGCCCGCGCGTCCGTCAATAGCGGGGCCTTCTCCGCCGCTGTTGGCGGGGAACGGAGAAGTGCCAAAAAGAGGAACGGGCGATTGAGATGACCAGCGACATGGTGACTCTTGTTTCGACGAATTTATTTGTTGAAGTTGAGGAAAGCGAATCCTGAGGAAACCATGCTCGTGTGCTAGACTGTGATCACCGGAAAAACTCTTGCATATGGTAGAAACAAGTGTGAATTCCAGCATGTCGCTCATTTCAGTGAACGCTTTCGAATGTCACCAATTGTGGACGCCACGAAACTGGCGAAATTATTTCCAGGCCTGTTTGCGACCAATCCTTAATGCAGTCGCCTAAACCGCTTGGCATTAGCGTCGGGTTTAGTCCACGTAAGGTACACCTCGTAGACTTCACAGAGTGAAACCAGATAATCTCACCGCTAGCGGCATTTCCGGTCTCCGCCTCCATGACAGATGACCCGCTCGACGCGCTCACCGACACAGCGCTTCGCGACGACCACCGTGTGATGGGCTGCTGCGCTTGCGACAAAGCTAGTCGCACGCCACTGATCGCTTGACCCTGCTGCGAAAGCTGCTGCGACGACGGCGACGCAGGCTGCAAAATCGCACGGGAGGAGGAGAGAAGCCGCTGTGCACAGCAGAGCCGCAGGGAGTGCGCCATAAGACAAGCGACAGCCAGCAGTAATCGAACACTGGCTCTCGTAAGTCCTGAGCTACGCAGCAGCTAAAACAGATCACGCTAGTGCTGGAGCCTGAAATGAAATCAATCTGACTTGAACCAGCTTCAATTTCCGTCAGGCTAAAAAGCCACCGCAAACCAAGAGATTTGGTTGGGCAATCCCAAGGTCTGCTCTGCTCAGTCATCCTGCTGGTGGGTCTCCTAGGCTCGGAATCATGCCTCGGGAATCATCTGTTCTGGGTTGGGCATTGCTGAAGGTATGGTCCCTCTGGCCTCGAGAGTGTCTCTGGCTCTATCAATCTGAGCCACGAAATTTGATCTGAGGTGGCTAGAAATGACTCGTCGACCGCGGTGACTTCTCTGACAAGGTTCATTGTCTGACGCAAGTCTGGCGTGTCAGTCTTTAGGTCTAATAAGAGACAATATTACCTCTAAACGTCGAGATGGCCGAGTTGGTCTAAGGCGCTGGATTAAGGTTCCAGTCCGAAAGGGCGTGGGTTCAAATCCCACTCTCGACAGTGGTTTTATCTTTTGTCGCCCAAATCGATCTGACACATTTGTTGACATCTGCTCCAGATTCGCGCCAAACCAACCCCCATTCATCTGACAATTTCTGCCGACATCCAGCCACTCCCAAATTCGCCCCACCCAACCGCACCACCAACCGCAAATTCGCAGCACATCCAACCAACGTCACGTTTGCCATTCACCAGGGCTCCATGCTGTGTGTTGTCTACTCATCCGTCGTCTCGCTGGCTGTTTTCACTTCCCATTCTATCGATATTTTGTGTAGGCCTCGTCAAGGATTTCGCCTTCCTCCTTTTCAGTTAGCCGTTCGCTGTCGTCCATAAGCCTCAGGTCGTTCTCCCAATTTACCCTTTCGTCCTAAATTCTTCGATCCTCGTCGAACATAGCATAATCCCTCTCGCTTCAGCCCTTGAGCCATGTCGCTCCCAGGCGATACTCGCAGCATCGCGACAGCTGGTACTGGCGGTTCAGATGGCAGCAAAAGCGCGGTGGGCTTCGTGGGTCTGGGCGCGATGGGTGGCGGCATGGCGGCAGCTCTGGTGAAGCGAAGCTTTGCTGTGAAGGGATTCGATGTGAGTGGTTATTCGACGCCATTCGGGGGTTTGTCAGCTTAGTGACCATGGTTTGCTGTCATTTGAGTGGTTTCTCGTCGCTTCGTCGACTTCCTTCGTCTCCTCCTCTTGTTTGCTCACAAGCTGTGAAGACGCACTGAAGTCAAACCTTGTGCGGTGGAATCGTCGCGGAAGCAAGGAATATGGGGATGTAGCTCAGATGGTAGAGCGCTCGCTTAGCATGCGAGAGGTACGGGGATCGATACCCCGCATCTCCAGGTTCGCGGGGATAGCTCAGTTGGGAGAGCGTCAGACTGAAGATCTGAAGGTCGCGTGTTCGATCCACGCTCACCGCACCTTTTGCCCTCCGTCTAGTGCACCTACTTCATGTGCACGTCTGTGTTGTGGCACATCCCATATCTTGCTTTGCTCACCCCATGATGCCCCACAGGTGTACCCCCCTGCATGTGAGAAGCTCAGAGCAATGGGGGGTGCTGCTGCTACCTCTGCCGCCGATGCTGCTAAGGGTAAGGCATGCCTCCATGCCGCTCGCCCCATCTTGCCTGCCGACCCCTTCCATGCTCATTCCACCGACCCCTTCCATGCTCATTCCACCGACCCCTTCCATGCTCATTCCACCGACCCCTTCCATGCTCATTCCACCGACCCCTTCCATGCTCATTCCACCGACCCCTTCCATGCTCATTCCACCGACCCCTTCCATGCTCATTCCACCGACCCCTTCCATGCTCATTCCACCGACCCCTTCCATGCTCATTCCACCGACCCCTTCCATGCTCATTCCACCGACCCCTTCCATGCTCATTCCACCGACCCCTTCCATGCTCATTCCACCGACCCCTTCCATGCTCATTCCACCGACCCTTCCATGCTCATTCCACCGACCCCTTCCATGCTCATTCCACCGACACCCCTTCCATGCTCATTCCACCGACCCCTTCCATGCTCATTCCACCGACCCCTTCCATGCTCATTCCACCGACCCCTTCCATGCTCATTCCACCGACCCCTTCCATGCTCATTCCACCGACCCCCTTCCCATGCTCATTCCACCGACCCCTTCCATGCTCATTCCACCGACCCCTTCCATGCTCATTCCACCGACCCCTTCCATGCTCATTCCACCGACCCCTTCCATGCTCATTCCACCGACCCCTTCCATGCTCATTCCACCGACCCCTTCCATGCTCATTCCACCGACCCCTTCCATGCTCATTCCACCGACCCCTTCCATGCTCATTCCACCGACCCCTTCCATGCTCATTCCACCGACCCCTTCCATGCTCATTCCACCGACCCCTTCCATGCTCATTCCACCGACCCTTCCATGCTCATTCCACCGACCCCTTCCATGCTCATTCCACCGCCCTTCCATGCTCATTCCACCGACCCCTTCCATGCTCATTCCACCGACCCCTTCCATGCTCATTCCACCGACCCCTTCCATGCTCATTCCACCGACCCCTTCCATGCTCATTCCACCGACCCCTTCCATGCTCATTCCACCGACCCCTTCCATGCTCATTCCACCGACCCCTTCCATGCTCATTCCACCGACCCCCTTCCATGCTCATTCCACCGACCCCTTCCATGCTCATTCCACCGACCCCTTCCATGCTCATTCCACCGACCCCTTCCATGCTCATTCCACCGACCCCTTCCATGCTCATTCCACCGACCCCTTCCATGCTCATTCCACCGACCCCTTCCATGCTCATTCCACCGACCCCCTTCCATGCTCATTCCACCGACCCCTTCCATGCTCATTCCACCGACCCTTCCATGCTCATCCACCGACCCTTCCATGCTCATTCCACCGACCCCTTCCATGCTCATTCCACCGACCCCTTCCATGCTCATTCCACCGACCCCTTCCATGCTCATTCCACCGACCCCTTCCATGCTCATTCCACCGACCCCTTCCATGCTCATTCCACCGACCCTTCCATGCTCATTCCACCGACCCCTTCCATGCTCATTCCACCGACCCTTCCATGCTCATTCCACCGACCCCTTCCATGCTCATTCCACCGGACCCCTTCCATGCTCATTCCACCGACCCTTCCATGCTCATTCCACCGACCCCTTCCATGCTCATTCCACCGACCCCTTCCATGCTCATTCCACCGACCCCTTCCATGCTCATTCCACCGACCCCTTCCATGCTCATTCCACCGACCCCTTCCCATGCTCATTCCACCGACCCCTTCCATGCTCATTCCACCGACCCCTTCCATGCTCATTCCACCGACCCCTTCCATGCTCATTCCACCGACCCCTTCCATGCTCATTCCACCGACCCCTTCCATGCTCATTCCACCGACCCCTTCCATGCTCATTCCACCGACCCCTTCCTTCACCTACCCTTTTTATAGTCCCTTTCCCCTCTTCCTGCCCTTAGCCTCGTTGCCCCCCCATGATGTCTCCTCTGTGCTTCTCTCAGACGCGGCGGTCCTGGTGCTCATGGTGACCACAGCACAGCAGGCAGAGGGCGCTCTGTTTGGCAGTCAGGGGGCGCTGGATGGTGAGTGATACCAACATCATGCTATCGCTCAGGGTGTGGAATGAATGGTAAGAGGAGTCCAAGAATGTGACTGTGCTGCGTAGTGTGTGCCACAGGCTACACGAGCTCGACTGTGTATGCCTCGTTTCTGCTCTTCTCTCTCCCCATCTTCTTTCTCTCTCCCCACCTCCTCTCCCTCTCCCTCTCCCTCTCCCTCTCCTCTCTTTTCTCTTGCATCCCCCAGCTCTCCCCCCCGCTGCAGTTGTAATCCTCTGCTCCACGGTTCCGCCTGACTTTGCACGCAGCCTCTCCCAGAAGCTCACAGGTAGGTACTGCCCCATGCTGAGCACAAGGTGACTTATGAGTTGACTCAAAAGTCACCCCAGAAGCTGACACGTGCTACTGCATGCTAGGCACAAGTTCTTCCGTGTTTTTTTCTCTTGGATTCTCTATAACCTAAGCCCCTCTTTTTCCTCCGTGCTTACCTAACCTCATACCTTTTCTCCCAACCCCCTCTCTCTCTACCTTGGCCTCATGTCTTTTCCATATGGCGCCCATCTGCCCTTCTGCTCTTTCCCCTGCAGCCCAGGGCAAGGGGTGGGAGCTGGTGGATGCTCCGGTGTCAGGAGGGGTGGCACGCGCGGCTGACGGCACCCTCACTGTGAGCTGTCTTACCCGGTCGCAACCGCACTGTGAGCTGTCTTACCCGGTCGCAACCGCACTGTGAGCCTTACGATTATGAAGAAGCCTACGCCCGAAAGCACCTGGGAAAAGTGTTAATGCACCGATTGATAGCTATCTCTCTCTAGTTCGTCGACAGTTTTGGTCCTTCCACCTGTCTGTCCCTCACTCTCTCTCATCCTGCCAAGGCCCGCATTCTGCTCTCTCTCGCACCTCTCTCCGTTTCCTCTCACCCATCCCCACCCCTCTTCCCTCTACCCACCCACCGCACTTGCAGATAATGGCCTCTGCTACGCCGGCTGCACTTGCCAAGGCGCAGCCAGAGCTGGAAGGTACGCCTGGCGCAGTGTAACCCATGGCACGAGCTTTGCGTTGGCAAGACGTGGGCTTTAATGGTCCCTTGGACCCTTGGACCACTGCGATGCACCATTCTCTGTCTCGTCTCCGTCCCCCTGTGTGCCTCGCTGCCTCATCCCCAAGCACCTTCCTTTAAGCACCCTCATCACCCCTCTCGTTCTCCCCCCACCCCTCCTACCCTCCTCCCCTCCTCCCGCCCTCCCCCCCCCACCCTTGCTGCAGCCATGAGTGCGAAGCTGTACATTGTAGGCGACAAGCCTGGAGCAGGCAGGTCAGTGTGAGGAGGGAGAGGGAGGCAGGTCAGTGTGAGGAGGGAGGGGGTGGAGGGAGACAGGTGAGTGTGAGGAGGGAGGGGGCGGAGGGAGACAGGTGAGTGTGAGGAGGGAAGGGGTGGGGGGAGACAGGTGAGTGTGAGGAGGGAGGGGGTGGAGGGAGGCAGGTGAGTGTGAGGAGGGAGGGGGCGGAGGGAGACAGGTGAGTGTGAGGAGGGAAGGGGTGGAGGGAGACAGGTGAGTGTGAGGAGGGAGGGGGTGGAGGGAGGCAGGTGAGTGTGAGGAGGGAGGGGGTGGAGGGAGGCAGGTGAGTGTGAGGAGGGAGGGGGTGGGGGGTGGTGAGAATGAAGGGCTTGAGATGAGAATGAAGGGCTTGAGATGAGAAGCAACGTTCTGTGGGGCACGAAAGAGGTGGCCTGAAAGGAAAGGAAGGGAAGGGAAGGGAAGGAGAGGAAACCAAGCGTGCCTCTCAGATGATCTCAAAGAGAATTTTCCACCTTTTCCTTATATTTTCTCGCTCCCCCCCCCTTCCCCCCATTCCGTGCTGGGAAGTCGGTGGAATCAGGGGCTGGCTTCAGTGGGTGCACATGGTGGCAGCAGGTCGCTTGTGAGCGCACTCAGATCTGCAACCCTGAGTGAAAGTGCCCCAACCCCCGCTTGCCCCCTCCTTCAGCGCCGTGACGATGGTCAACCAGCTGCTGGCCGGGGTGCACATAGCGGCAGCACATGTTCCCCCGATCCCCACACTCCTCCCTCCAAAACCCCCCCTCCCCGCAGTGCGGTGAAGATGGTCAATCAGCTGCTGGCCGGCGTACACATAGCGGCAGCTGCAGAGGCCATGGCATTGGGGGCGAGGGCAGGGCTCAACCCGCGCATGGTGTTCGACATCATCTCGCACGCCGCTGGCAACTCGTGGTATTTTGTCGCTGTCGCCCTGATTGGTGCATCCAGTCACTTACTAGTTGACCAGAAGGGTCAACCTGTGCGCAGGGTCTTAGACACCAGCTCGCACGATGGTGGTAACTCCTGGTGCGACCCATTTTTGGATCCTGGTCTGCCTCATGCTATCTCTCGCATGGTGCCGGCCGTTGTCTCACAACCTCGTGGACTCTTCTTGGGCTGGAAACCTCCTGCACTGCTCGTTTCCCCACCTGACAGCTGGAGTCGTAGATGGATTGCAGGTGGGCTGCGGAGGCCTTATTTCCATCAAGTCTGATCGCCAGCCTCACTGCTGCGTCCTATGCCCCATGCTCCCTGTTACCATGTTACCATGTGCGTGCGCCCACTCCTTTCCTCCCAGGATGTTTGAGAACCGAGTGCCGCACATGCTGGATAACGACTACACCCCTCGCTCCGCTTTAAACATCTTCGTTAAGGACCTGGTACGGTGCAGTGCAGTGCAGTGCAGTGGCAGTGTAATCCGCCTCTTTTTTCCATTGACCCCCGCCTCTCCCCCACTTACAGCATGCCTGACGCTGTCGTGTGTCGCTCTGCTAGTTGAGGCTTCAGTCCTTATTCTAGCTGCTTATGGTGCCTCCTCCCCCTCCCTCCCTTCCTCATCTTGCCTCAACTCAACCGTCCACCTTCTCACTGTTACCTCCCTACTCTCCCTCACCTCCCCTCCAGGGCATAGTATTGGGCGAGGCACAGTCACTGTCCGTCCCTCTCACCAGCAGTTCCTCTCTCCGCCCACCCCCTCCTATCTTGTCCTCCTTTCTTCTCCCTCCCCTCCCCTCCCCACCCCTCCAGGGCATCGTGTTGGGCGAGGCACAGTCGCTGGCGTTCCCCTCCCTCTGGCGGCTGCAGCACACCAGCAGTTCCTGGCCGGCGCAGCAGCAGGACTGGGGAGAGAGGACGACGCTGCTGTCGTCAAGGTGAGGCGTGGGGCTTGGGGTGGGGGGGGGTTGATGCGTAATGTCTACCAACTGCCTGTGAGTATAGCCTTTTCGAGACAGCATGTTTGGCGCACCAGCGGTTCCTGGCCGGCGCAGCAGCAGGGCTGGGGAGAGAGGACGACGCTGCTGTGGTCAAGGTGAGGCCGGGGGCTTGGGGCTGGCGGTTTGGGCATTGTGTGTGGGGCTGGGGGTTTGGGCATTGTGTGTGGGGCTGGCAGTTTGGGCATTGTGTGTGGGGCTGGCGGTTTGGGCATTGTGTGTGGGGCTGGGGGTTTGGGCATTGTGTGTGGGGCTGGGGGTTTGGGCATTGTGTGTGGGGCTGGGGTTTGGGCATTGTGTGTGGGGCTGGGGGTTTGGGCATTGTGTGTGGGGCTGGGGGTTTGGGCATTGTGTGTGGGGCTGGGGGTTTGGGCAGTGTGTGTGGGGCTGGGGGTTTGGGCAGTGTGTGTGGGGCTGGGGGTTTGGGCATTGTGTGTGGGGCTGGGGGTTTGGGCATTGTGTGTGGGGCTGGGGGTTTGGGCAGTGTGTGTGGGGCTGGGGGTTTGGGCAGTGTGTGTGGGGCTGGGGGTTTGGGCAGTGTGTGTGAGGCTGGGGGTTTGGGCAGTGTGTGTGGGGCTGGGGGTTTGGGCAGTGTGTGTGGGGCTGGCGGTTTGGGCAGTGTGTGTGGGGCTGGGGGTTTGGGCAGTGTGTGTGGGGCTGGCGGTTTGGGCAGTGTGTGTGGGGCTGGGGGTTTGGGCAGTGTGTGTGGGGCTGGGGGTTTGGGCAGTGTGTGTGGGGCTGGGGGTTTGGGCAGTGTGTGTGGGGCTGGGGGTTTGGGCAGTGTGTGTGGGGCTGGGGGTTTGGGCAGTGTGTGTGGGGCTGGCGGTTTGGGCAGTGTGTGTGGGGCTGGCGGTTTGGGGTGATTATTCTGGTACATCAAATGGGTGATGCTCGCAAGGTCTATTACATGCCATGGATAGCATTAATTACTGCCCTCGTTTTATTCTACCTCCTCTCCTCTCCACCTGACCGCCAGAGCTCTGCCGCTGGCTGCCAGCCTCTGACCGCCAGAGCTCTGATCGGCGGAGCCCACTCTTCCCTCTCCCCTCTCCCCTCTTCTGCGTCCAACTCTCCTCCACTCACTCACCTCCACCTCCCTCCTCTCACATCCCCTTCAGGTCTATGAGCGCCTGGCAGGTGTGACAGTCGCCACCACCCTCCCCTCCTCCTCCCCCACCTCCTCTCCCCCCTCCACCTCCTGCTCTTCTCCTCTCCTGGAGCCCACCGTCCAATCAAAATCTGCCATGCTGGCAGCGCTGCCGCCCGAGTGGACGGGCAGCCTGGAAGTGGGGGAGAGCGTGGAACAAAGCAGTGGAGGGACGGCGGGGGAGGGGAAAGCAGGGGGAGGGGAGGGGCGGGGAGGGGCGGTGGTGCCGGTGGTGCCGGTGGTGGTGGTGCTGGATGACGACCCCACTGGCACTCAGACTGTGCATGGCATTCACGTGCTCACCACATGGTATGGCATTCACGTGCTCACCACATGGTATGGCATTCACGTGCTCACCACATGGTATGGCATTCACGTGCTCACCACATGGTATGGCATTCACGTGCTCACCACATGGTATGGTGTGGTGTAATATGGTCACTACATGGCTATCTATGAGCACGGTCATGGGGTCAGTGGCTCGACCACCACTCTCCCGTCACCCTTCCTTCCATTATTTTCGCTCTTATTCTTCTGTTTTTGAGGCGCCTCAAGAATCCGCTTTTGAGTCAACTCAAAAGCGCTTTTATTCTTCTGTTTTTGAGGCGCCTCAAAAATCCTCTCCCGTCACCCTTTCTTCCATTCTTTTCGGTTTTACTCTTCTGTTTTTTCTCCCCCCAGGGACGTGGAGACGCTCACAGCCGAGATGCTTAGCCTGACGCACGCCCCCCGTGCCGGCTTCTTCATCCTCACCAACTCACGCGCATTGCCAACAGAGCAGGTCCGTATGCATGCACACAGACCAGGTGCACATGGCCTGGCAGAGCTTCCCCACACTCTCCCTCCCCACTCTTGACCTCCTCATTTTCTATCTCCGTTCTCTGCTTGCTCATTCCCCACACCCCTGCTTCTCTCACATTCCCTTGACCCGGTTCCCTCCCCCACACCACCCCTCCCGCATCCCAGGCGGCATCTCTCACTCGCACCATCTGCAGCAATGTTGTCACAGCAGCCCGGCAGGCTGGCATCCTCAGGTAGAGAGGGGTGGGAACGGGTGGGGATGGGTGGGGATGGGCAGGGATGGTTGAGAAGCATGAGCAGTGGCTGCTGATGGAAAAAACGGGAATGAGCAGTGGTGGGTTACAGAGAGAGGGGGTGAGCGCCAGACGCCGTTCGTTCACCTCATTTCAAAACCCAAGCGCGTCTCTCTGTCCATCTCGTGCTGCTGTGTGCAGCGGCAGCCCACCATCGGATCCCAAGGGCCCCGTGTGCAGAGGCATCTCCATCATACTGCGAGGCGACTCTACCTCCGCGGGCACTTCCCCCAGGTGCCCCTGTCACCCACTTCACCCTCCGATTCCATCCCCATGCGTCTTTCGCCCTCTAGTGTCCCTGCATGGTACTCTCTCCCTCCATCGCGTGCCCTGCCATGCACTGTATCGTTTTCCCCTGTACCCCGGCATCAGATGCTGGTACCCTGGCATGCCCCTACTCTATGCATGGCTGCTGTGCCCTTTCTTCCTCACTTTCTACCATCTCATGCCCCCTCCTCTCTGCACAAATTGTTTTCACCAAATACAATCTGCTCAATGTTAGCTGGAAGTTCGGGTAGTTGTCCCGGTCCAGTAGGAGCAGAACTTGGTGTTGTAGTGTTGGTCGAACCGGCCAGCGCAGCAGCCTTGTAAGGAACGAGGTCGGTTCGACCAACACTACAACACCAATTTCTGCTCCTACTGGACCGGGATAACTGCCCGAACTTCCAGCTAACATTGAGCAGATTGTATTTTGTGAAAACGATTCGACTACTTCCGTCCAACCCAACAAGAAGCGTGCCTGTCCTACAGAGCCAACTCTTGGGGAAACGGCCACTGTGCCGATTAACGACGTTCCTATGGAATTACCTACCAAGGATTCCGCTCCCGAGGATGTCGTCACGACGGATTCTTTCTCCTTTCTTGGAGAAGTCGACCATTCAATTCTGGACAAGCATCCGATTCCTTCCTGCTTTAGCGACTTCAAGAATCAAGCTACTGCGGGTTTTGAGAAGAACTGTGCGAAGCACCGGAGCTTATCTCAGCAACATACTATTATGGAAGAGCAGGTCAAGTCCGGCGATATCCCTTTCTTCCTCACTTTCGACCATCTCATGCCCCTCCTCTCTGCCCAAATCACCCTGGCCTGCATCACCGTGTCAGGAGGTGGAGGCGGCAGAGGCGGTGCTAGGGGGCGGAGTGGATGCGTGGCTGCTCTGCCCTTTCTTCCTGGAGGGGGGGCGATACACCATAGGCGACGTGCACTATGTGGCTGATGGGCAGGACGGGTGGGTGTGGGAAGGACAGGCGTTGCTGATGGGTGGGCTTAGGAAGGTATGAAAGGGCACCATGGCTCCTGTGCCTTTTCTTCCTGGAGCGAGGGTGCTACTCGTGGACTATGTGACGAACGTGCAGGACAGGTGGGGTGAGAGTCTCTAGCGAGTTGACATCTTGGGGTTGGGTGGGGGCACCTGCATTGTGTGTCGGATTCTCAACACAGGGGCGTTTCAACTGCCTGGTACATGTGCTCACACGCACATGTTCCCTCCACCCCTCTACCCGCCTGTCCACACCCGCCCATCTCAGCCTAGTGGCAGCGGCACAGACAGAGTTTGCCAAAGATGCTGCTTTCGGGTACCGCCACTCCAACCTCAAACAGGTGAGCCGGCTGTAGCACAATGTAGCCCAAGGTTGTAGCACACACCTTGTAGCTCACGTGGGCCGCTGGTAAGATGCCTGGCTGAAAGGCGGCTTAGTCCTCTGATGTGATGCATGCATGTACTGTCTATGTGCAAGGCGGCTTAGTCCTCTGCATCCGCTCCTCCCGCAACTCCTTGCGCCGCGTCAGTGCCTCCTTGCGCAGCCGTGCAACATTGCAACGAGGTGGCTCTGAGTCGACTCAAAGGTCACTGCGTGCATGCATTGTCAATGTGCCTCTGCATCACCTCCCACAACTGCGTCACTGCCTCCCATGCACCCATCTGCATGCTCCCATGATCCACAGTGGGTGGAGGAGAAAACAGCAGGCGCCAGGTCAGCATCTGACGTGGCGTCTATTTCCATTGAGACCATCAGAAAGGGCGGCCCCTCTGCTGTCTTCAAAGCCCTCATGGGACTGCCTAAGGTACTCCCTGCTGTCCCTGCTGCTCCCTGCTGCTCCCTGCTGCTCCCTGCTGCTCCCTGCTGCTCCCTGCTGCTCCCTGCTGCTCCCTTCTGCTCCCTGCTGCTCCCTGCTGCTCCCTGCTGCTCCCTGCTGCTCCCTGCTGCTCTCCTGCAGCCTCCCTGCTACATTGTGTTATGTTGTATCAGTACTGCGGTGTAATCTTCTGCGCATGGGTTTCTCTTTTCAATTCACCGTAAGCCTATACCTCTATCCCCTAAACCCTCCACAGGGCAGCGTGTGCATCCTCAACGCTGCGAGCGACAGCGACCTGCACGTTGTGACAGCAGCGCTGCGCAGCGCCGAGTCCTCTGGCCGCTCCTTCCTCGTCCGCTCGGCCGCCTCCTTCGTCTCCTCCCTCCTCTGCATCCCCAAGATCGCCCCGCTGGGGCCCCCTGAGTGGGCACGCTTGCTGCTGGGGGGAGGGGCAGGGGAAGAGTGTGGGGGGGAGGGGGAGTGGGGACGGAAGTTGAAGCGGTGGGGATGGGTGCGGAGTGGTGCTGGGGGGCTGATTGTGGTGGGGTCTTACGTGCCCAAGACAAGTGCGCAGGTGAGTGCAGAGGAAGGGTGTGGTAGAGAGATGGGGGGCGATCGAAGAAAGGAGAGTGAAGCAGTGTGGTTTCTTTCTGCTGCGTGGCATGTCGACCTTCCTGCCTGAGCTTCCCCTCTACTCTATCTGTCTCATCCCTTCTCTTTCAATTGCCTCAGCTGGAGCAACTACTCAGCCGCCTTGGCGCGTCGCTGCACGTGATACAGGCAAGTCGGTGTGTGGCTGGTGTGTGGCGGGTGTGTGGCGGGTGTGTGGCGGGTGTGTGACGGGTGTGTGACGGGTGTGTGGCGGGTGTGTGACGGGTGTGTGACGGGTTTGTTTCGTGCCATTTTCATTGCATGGTTGTGTGAAAAGCAAATAGGTGCATCCTCACTCGAGTCAAAGCGGCGAACATCGATGGTCACATACTCACACCACCACATGGCCATGCCCGTTACAAAGACTGCTCGACTCACAGCATACCTTAGTGCCCTTCCACCCCCCCTCATGTCCCTCCACGTCACCGGACAGGTCAGCGCTGCTGATGTGGCGTCTGACAGCTGGCAGGGGGAGAGGAGGGAAGCAGCAGTAGCGGGCATGGCGGCAGAGGCTGAGGACGCACTGAGGGCGGGCAGGGATACCGTCATCATGACGTCACGGGAGCTGGTCACAGGCTCGGGTGGGTGTGGTCGGGGTGTTGGGCGCCTCATATTCCTCTATGCGTGTGAGTGCGCTCGCAAACCTTCAGACCCCTCTCACCTCTGAGCCACCACCTGCCTGCACGCCTCCTGTCCTCTCCTCTCCTTGCCTCCCCTCCTGCCAGACGCATCCAGCAGTCTGGAGATCGGGTCGCGAGTGAGCGCAGCTGTGGTGGACATTGTTAGGGGCATCAGCGTGCGCCCCAGATATATCCTGGCTAAGGTGGGTGGGGCACCCTCAGTGGGGTGGAGAAGAAGGGTGGGATGGGGTGGGGAAGAGGGTAGGGGATGGAAGCGAACACTGTCATCCTGATATTAGAGTGGGAGGGGAGGGGAGGGGTATTAGAGTGCCCCCAGATACATCCTGGCGAAGGTGGTGTTTCACACGAATTCACCACGCTCTTCTGCTATTCCCATCATTTGCCTCCTCTAGTCCTCACGCCCTCTCCCTAGTATCCTCCCCACCACCCCTCTAACCACATGCATCAGGGCGGCATAACATCGTCCGATGTGGCAACCAAGGCGCTGGGAGTGAGGAGGGCGAGGGTGGAGGGGCAGGCCATGCCAGGAGTGCCCCTGTGGCTCCTGGATGATGCGTCTCGCTTCCCCGACCTGCCCTATATAGTGTTTCCTGGTACGTTCTTCTGTCTCTGTCTTTGTTTTCTGTTGCTTACTGGTCCTCCAGCGTCAGCTTCTGCAGATTGCTGAGGTTGCCAAAGCTGTCGGCCAGCGCCGTGAGGCGAGGTGCTTCCTAGGGAAAGGACTTCAAAGCTTCCAGAGCACCAATTTTATCTGGCAGATGGATTGCACTCTCTGAAAGAATCTGGAAGCGTATGAGTCCAAAAAACTGGAGATGCTTGCAGGAAGATCATCGACGGTGGTTGGGCAGGACAGTTGGAGGATTGAGAGTTTGCTTGCCCGCCACTGTCACGGCTTTTCCAGTTGTATTTTCCAGTCGCTTGAGTCGACTCAAAACCGCCATTGTCAAAACTAGAAGCATCTAGAAGCCTGAACTGTTCCAGCAAGCATCTCCAATCCAGCTAAACCTGAATGCTTCTAGATTTTTTCAGAGAGCATCGTCAGCCTGCTGGAAAAAATAGTGCTCTTTAAGCTCTGGAGCCCTTCCACTTGAAAGCACCTCATATCACAGTGCTGCCTGACAGCTTTGGCAACCTCACAAATCTGCGAAAGCTGCTTGAGTTGTCATCTGTACCTGTTGTCATTCCGCTGTAGGAGCTGATGCTCTCCGTCACTTAGCTCCCATCGCTCGTCTCTATCACCCTTTCCGCATGCGCATTCCTTCCCACCCATCCCCGATCTCCCTGTGATCACCTCGCTCCCTACTGGCCTCCAGGCAACGTGGGTTCATCAGCATCCCTTGCTGACGTCGTGCAGCGATGGCGCACCGACCCCATCACCCCGCCCCCAGCTGCCCCGGCACCTGCACCCCTGGGTGCACTCTCTACGCCTACCCCTCTCCTCTCCACGCTGGACCTGGTGCGGGCAGCAGCGGAGGGAGGGTATGCGGTGGGGGCGTTCAACGTGTACAACCTGGAGGGGGTGCGGGCGGTGGTGCGCGCAGCAGAGGAGGAGAGGAGTCCAGCCATCCTCCAGGTAAACTCTCTAACGCCAAGTGATCTGGATGGATGAACAAGGACTCGCACCTGTAACTCTCTAACGCCTGTCATTTTTCTCCTTGCTCCCACATGCTCCCGTTCTCTCTTCGGTTTCTCTCCCCCTATTCCGTCTCTCCCTCAGCTGCACCCTTCCGCCATCCGTCACGGGGGCGACGCTCTCATTGCTGCGTGCACCGCTGCTGCCCTGGCTGCCCATGTGCCCATCGCCCTGCACCTCGACCATGCGACGGACCTGACGCTCATTGAGCGGTGTGTGCACCAGGTATGCTTGCAAGTACACCATGTGCTGCTGCCACGCCTGCCCATGTGCCCATCGCCCTGCACCTCGACCATGCCACCGATGTGACGCTCATAGAGCAATGCGTGCACCAGGTGCGTATGCATGGTGCAGTGTGCAACTGCTGTGTGCGTGTGCACGCACAAGTGTGAACCATTGTGCTGCCTGCCCCGTGCACCATGCCCCATGCCCCATGCCCCATGCACCATGCCGCATGCCCCATGCACCATGCCCCATGCCCCATGCACCATGCCCCATGCCCCATGCCCCATGCACCATGCCCCATGCACCATGCCCCATGCCCCATGCCCCATGCCCCATGCACCATGCCCCATGCACCATGCCCCTTGCTCCATGCACCATGCCCCACGCACCATGCCCCATGCCCATGCCCCATGCACCATGCCCCAATGCCCCATGCACCATGCTCTATGCCCGATGCCCCATGCCCCATGGCCCATGACCCATGCCCTAAGCCAATGCTTCATGCTCCATGCCCCATACCCCACATCCACAGGGCTGGTTCCACTCCATCATGGCAGACGGCTCCCACCTGCCCCTCGCTGACAACATCGCCTTCACTCAACGCGTCGCTACCACACTTGCTCACCTCACAGCTCGAGCACCAGAAGCACCAGCAGCAGCAACAGCAGACGCTTCATCAGCAGCGGCAGCAGCGGGCAGGGGGGCGGGCGTGGTGGTGATAGAGGCAGAGGTGGGGCAAATAGCGGGCGTGGAGGATGGGGAGACGGTGGAGGAGATTGCAGGCCGACTCACACAAGTGGAGCAGGTGAGGGCAACACAGAGAGCACACGGCGAGGTGAATGCCAACATTCCGCATGTTTTACCCCTATCACCCCCCATCAACCCCCATCACCCCCTATCACCCCCCATCACCCCCCATCACCCATATCATCAACCCCTCTTCCCCGTCACCTCATAACCCCGGTTATCACCCCCTATCACCCCCTATCACCCCTATCGCCCCGATCACCCCCTATCGCCCCCTATCATCCCCATCACCCTTTCATCCTGATCACCCCCTCTCCCTTCCTCTTTCCCTCCACAGTGTCCCTCAAGTGTCTCTCCTGGCCGTGTGTGTGGGCAACCGCCACGGCCCCTACCCGCCCTCTGCGCTCGCCGCTCCCGACTCCATCCTCAACCTGCCTCTCCTCCACAGCCTCTCCACCGTTGCAGCGTGGCACAGCTCCCACGACGTGCTCCTTGCAGTGTGTGTGTGTGTGTGCGTGTGTGTGCCGCATCCCTCATCCCCTCCTCTTTCCCTCCCTTCCCCTCTCCTCTTCCTCCCCCTCCCCCCCTTCACCAGGCCGAGTCTTTCCTCCAGAGTGTCCCTCAGGTGTCGCTCCTGGCCGTCTGTGTGGGCAACCGACATGGGCCCTACCCACCGTCTGTGCTTGCTACTCCCGACTCCATCCTCAATCTGGATCTCCTGGCGAGTCTCAACACAGTCACATCTCGCCACAGCGCCCATCTTGTGCTCCACGGAGCCTCGGGATTGCCGCCGCGCATCGTGCTGGAGTGTGTGCGCTGCGGCGTGCGCAAGTTTAATGTTAACACGGAAGTGAGGGCTGCTTATATGGAGGCGCTGAGGGAGGCCGCAGGGGGGGAAGGAGAGGAGGGGAGGGAAGGGGAGAGGAGGGATCTGGTGGATGTGATGGGGGAGGCTGAGAGGAGGATGGAGGGGGTGGTGAGGGAGAAACTGCGACTGTTTGGGTCGGCTGGTCGGGTGTGAGAGGATGAAGAGGCTATCGGTATGGGCTGTGTGTCAGAGTAGAGGAGAGATCTGGTGGATGTGATGGGAGGCCTGAGAGGAACTGAGGTTCTTTGGGCCGGTTGGTCGGGTGTGAGGGCGGTGAACAGGGTGGTGGATGTGTGAAGGGAGTGAGGGGAAGGGGAGGGATGTGGTGGATGTGGTGGATGTGGTGGATGTGGTGGATGTGGTGGATGTGGTGGATGTGGTGGATGTGGTGGATGTGGTGGATGTGGTGGATGTGGTGGATGTGGTGGATGTGGTGGATGTGGTGGATGTGATGGGCCGGGCTGAGAGGAGAAAGGTGGGCGTGGTGAGAGGGAAACTTGGGCTGTTCGGGTTACTTTTGAGTCGACTCAAAAGTCACCTGAGGAGAAGGGTGGGTGTGGTGAGAGGAGAAGGGTGGGCGTGGTGAGAGGAGAAGGGTGGGCGTGGTGAGAGGGAAACTTGGGCTCTGTTCGGGTTGGGTTGGGTCAGCGCGCGTGAAACTTGGGCGGTTATGGTGAGCTGGTTAGTGTGACAACGTGGAGCGGTGGTTGTGGAAGAAGGAGCAGCAACAGGGAGTAAGCAAGCAGAAAGAGACAGTGGTGATGAATGTTGGCAAAACTGTTGCTGTAGTGCAGTGGTGCGTGGGTGACACCGATGGGTGCAGTGCAGAGCATCGATGTCAATGGGTGGGGCAGGAAGGGATGGATGGAATATGATGCCGAACAAAACTTGCTCTTTTATCTGATTGTTATGTTAGTACGGTAGTTTACTTACGGTTTCGCATCATTTGGGTGCAAACTAGGACGAGGCATGGGATTTGCTTGATAGCCAACAGCCACATGGAGCACTGTTGCAAGGACCTCATGATTCAGCCACATGAAGCACTGTTGCAAGGACCTCATGATTCAGCAACATGAAGCACCGTTGCAAGGACCTCATGATTCAGCCACATGAAGCACTGTTGCAAGGACCTCATGATTCATGATGCACCTCGTGTCGCCTCTGGTGACATCAGCTTGGACAAGTAGGGTACACTTTATTAAGCCACATACTGTATGTATGGTACAACAGTTTAAATATCACAACCGACAATGTGTAGGAGAATCACGTGGATGAGCAGTTGGTTGGTGCCCATAAGATTGGCACCCGTTGAGCGGAAAAGCAGTGTGCTCAGAGGGAGCATCATGTATAGGCTGGTGTTATTACCCGTACTCCTTTTTGCTGCGAAGTTAGAATCTTGGAGCTTGAGGCCTGAAGCTTGAGGAAGCACGTGGTCGCCGTATGAGCCACCCAGTGGACTCAGCAACCCAGCAGATGAACCCTAACTCCGTTCCCCCCCCATCAACAGGTGTCGCTTCAAACCAGATAGCCCACTAGATGGCCCCCCCTGCCAGCACAGCAGAGGTGTCATTTCAAACTGGCCTGCAGCGCACGGTCGATGATGTGTGTCGTCGCCATGGTAGCCACCAGCTGAAAGGCCGGCGGCTCCGGGTGATTGTAGTTCATCAGGTAGAAGTTCTCATCCACCCTCCTTGGCCCGATGGTCCACCGAGGGCAGCTCTTGAAATTCGGGAGGGTCTTAAACAGTGACGAGCGCTTGTACACTCCAAAGTCGTTTTGCGCGTAATCGAAGAACGCTGCAGAGGGGATATCCGTGAGGTTGACGAGCTGGTGCTTGTTGAACGTCCCCTCCTCCACCGTCGGCAGCACCTCGCAGTACTTGTACCCCATGTCCCGCGTGCCGTTCGCTACAATCAGCCGCACAAAGTTGTCCGTGGGTAACCCGCTACAATACCCAGTCTGCTTCCCTTGCAATGTCCCCCTCCGCCCGATATTACACAGCTTGCCGCGGATGGAGCGGTCCTGGCAGACGCTGTCCCACCAGGGCCACTGCTGGCGGAAGAGCGGGGTGTCGTAGTACCGCTTGCGCATGGCCTCCCAGTACGTCCCCGGGCGCTTGCCGCAGTGGTTGACGGTGGGCGTGAAGCACGTGCACCAGCCCGGCACGCCAGGGACGTCCTTGATGATTATGTTGTCCACTGAGTTCCTGGGAGGGGAGGGGAGGAGAAAGGGAGGGGTGGCAGGGAGGGCAGGGAGGGCAGGGAGGGGAGAGGGGAGAGGGGAGAGGGGAGAGGGGAGAGGGGAGAAGGAGAATGGATTGAGGCATGAGCAGTGGGAAGAAAGTTTGATTCGTGCTGGCACTGGACGTGATGGTACTATGATCAAGGCCCCTCACCCAGGCTTCTCCACCCCTCGCCTGTTCGTCCCTCCCTCTGTGCATCCCTTGCTCTCCCCACCTCCACTCACCACTTGCCGTTGTTGACCTCGATGCCATCATGCGTGCCCACAGACGCCCCTTGTCCTGCCTTGACTCCTCAGCACACCCTTCCCTCCATGCACTCCCCCCTCCCCACCCTCCCCCCTCGCACCACTCACCACTTGCCGTTGTTGACCTTGATGCCATCGTACGTGCCCACACACGCCCCACCGTTCACTGTGACGCCCGATGTGACGTAGTCCAGGTAGTAGCAGTGGTCGCCGTTGAACACATAGTTGCACTCCGCATAATTCGCTGGGGAGGGGGAGAGGGGGCGCCGGGGGGAAGGAAGGGGGTGCAGGGTGGGTGTGAGAGAGCAGAGCAGGGCGGGGTGGCACCTGAGGTGCGGCAGTCCAGGTAGCAATAGTGGTCGCCGCTGCACACATAGTTGCACTCCGCCAGATTCGCTGCACCAGGACAGACAATAAGCGAGAGAATACCGAGGCAAAGCGACAACACTGTTACACGTGGATAGCAACAGCAGGCACCATCTGAATCTACCGAGCACGCAGGCTCTTCACACCGGGTTTTGAAATAATAAAGCATCAGTTCCTACCCACCTGGGCTGAACCAGTGCGTGCAGTAGTAGATCCCCGCCGCGTCCTGGTCCCCGGACCTGTTGGTCCCCGCCGCCACCACAATGTTATACGAGATGGTGCTCAGCACGCAGTCCGCCGCGTAGTGCACGTCGGCGCCACAGCGGATGCCGGCGAAGATGAAGTCGTGCACGTAGTTGTTGCGCACTATCACGCCGATGGCGCCCTGGTACAGCACGATTGGTGTGTCCACGCCTGGTACCCGGTTGACACACCAGGCGTACAAGACAGGAGTAAAAGACAGGGATGAAAGAGAGGAGTACAAGACAGCTGAGAGCCATGGCCATGAGTGGTTATGTATGCAGTGGGATGCCATTGCCAAGTGTTGCCCTAACTGGAATTCACGCCTCCATTCTCCATTCCTCAACCACACCGTAGACATGCCCCAGCCCCATGACTCACCGTAGACCTCGTTATTGGTGATCGCGATATACGACTTCTGCAGCGTGGGCCCATGCCCGCTCATGGCGACGCGGATCACGCCCGGCGATTTGTTGAACACGGGCACGCCTGTCACGCGCATGGAGTCGACTCGCGACGACATGCTCCGAAACAGGTCGATGCGCCCGAAAACAGTCCCCTTGGCGATCTGAATTCCGTAACTCCTGTACACGTGAATTGTAGGGCAATTTACCCCGATGCCGTTCTCGGGAATGCCGACGCATTCAGGGGACGAGGTGCGGACCCCTAGAGAGAAGCTCAGTCCCAGTACAAGCACATTGCTGGTGTTCCATATCCGCAATACAGGCTGATCCGATCCGAAGTAGGAGATTTTGTAACCCGATCCGGTTAAGTTGTTGGAGCGGAGTACAGTGCACGAGTATCGGCCGTCAAAGAGGAGCCCTTTATCGAGTACGAGGTTTTTGTTGACCTCGAGAATGACGGTGCGCGTTCGCGGGTAGTTGAGGCGCCGGGCGATGTCGTCTACAGTAAGGACCTTGATATAGACTGCTCCCTCGTAGTCGGAACAGAACCCCGGAGTGAACGAATCGTCCTCTGGAGCGTGGGAAAGAAGGGGAACGAGGGGCGGAGGGAGGGAGTGGGGGAAGGAGATGAGGAGAGCGACGATGAGAGGAGATGGGGCGGAGAGGGTGGGGGAAAGAGGGCAAGGCAATGAGGAGTACACTTACGCGTTTTCCGTCTGCTCAGGTGATCGTTCAGATAGCTCGTCGCTGTGGCGAAAGCTGATCTTAAAGCACCTGTTGAATTGCTATCTCGTACGGTTCTCATGCCAAAAGGGGATGACGCAGCGGGGTCGACGCCATTTCCACTACTGTACATGCTTGCACCGTATCGGGACTGTTGCCCGTCTTGTATCGCGTCCAGGAACCGCCAAAAGAGGCCTCGATATTCGGTAAGAGGAGCGAACCCATCTGCCGGTCGAGCTACGAGGAAAAGACTCACTACGCAGAGAAGCACGAGCCACCGCATTGCGCCTCGACCCTGCTACTACCAGAACGATGTACGGAGAGGAAAATGACTAAGGGTGGGAAGTGGAGGATAACGTGTTCGGCTGCTTGTGAGTGCACGTAGAGCACTTAGTAGCGGGATGCTTCGGCTGTACGGCGATTGTTTCGTGACTCTACTTGGGCGACAGATGGCTATGCCCAACAGAGCGAGTCACGACTGATGGCGAGCGAGTTTGGGGTGTCCTGATCGCAGTCGCTATGCGATACTCGGGGACTGTCAGGACATGACTGACTATGACGACATTCGCATCTGTTTCTAAGGAATGGTGGAGAGGAGATTGGAGGAGAGAAGAGACGAAACTAATTGTTTGAGTTGAAAATGGTATGCATGCACTTCGCTCAGGCAAGTTGGTCGCATCATCGTGGATCCCAAGGTTTGTTGTGGCGCCAAGTGAAGTTGGTGGGTTCCCTGCTCTGCTACCATGCCCAGACATGTTTTCAGGTTCTGGGCATGCGCTAGATCCAGTAACGAGGGATTTGCGAAGGCGTCACGCGTCGCGAAATTCGTCAATCCTTGAGCATTCGGAGCTCTAGCATGCGTGTTGCGATCGGCGACTGAAATCCCTGATTCGGGTGATGGGGTAACGCGTCGCGACTCATCATCATTTGCAACTGCAGGTGGCGGCGTCGAGGTGAAAAGAAGCTGCCTGTTCAGAATTATCACCTGCGGCTCGATATTCAGGTGCTTATCATGAAATCGAGCTCGGGGGACCACAGAACTGAGCCAAGGGTTATTGACTCCGCTATAAGACAATCCCGCACCGACCATCCGTCTGGTCAGTTTGATGATTTTCTTGCAAGAGATTATGGTAAATGTGCGTTCAATATATATGTACATATATATTTATGAGTCCGGCATTGGTTTTGAAGCTCATGTATCTCTTTTATCTATTCAGGGTGTGTATAATTGCCCTTAAAAAACGTGGAAAGGCTTGTTTAGGTAAATTTTCATTCAAATTACAAGGCTGAAATATAGTTTAGAAAACATCTATACGGTGGTGCATAGTTTTGTGTTTGAAGGGGATGGGTGATCTTGTATGCGCTTTGCTGCATTGGAGTCAGCTCTTACTGGTTCAGACAAACTGTCAGTTCGGCGGCATTATCAGTGGTGTCAGAAGAAGTCGGACTGCAGCCCAAGCACCACTCTTATCAGCAGTGCTGTGATGACAATCCAGCAACCAAGCACCTAGCTTTCCATACATGGCTTATCAGTCGAGCTGACACTGCAGCAACCAAGCACCAAGCTTTCCGTACCTAATCAATTGGCAGTAATCAGGTTGCAGCTTCGCGGCTGAATAAGGATTGAGAAGGTTTCGGCGAGTTGCTCAAGCGCGTGGAGTAGAACAGCGGCATTCTGGAGGAATTGCCATAAGTGTGTCCGGTCATGCTAAGCTGCGACGGAAGTCTTTTGAAAAGAAGCGACGGTTTTGGAGCACCGAGCGGTGCGGCGAAAGAAACTTTCTGGCAGACAACGGGACATGGGGAAACGCGAGGAGGAGAGGAGGCGGAGGAGGGGGAGAAAGGCTAGCGAGTCATCAACGTCGTACGCGATGCAGCGGCTGCTCTCGAGGAATTATAAGGCGGTGCACGCCGATGAGGTGAGTGTGACTTTAGGGATGGTACGGGAATTTGACTACGTGGACGATAAGGAGGTGATTGTGAGTATAGGTGAGGTGAATGTAAAGCGAATGTCAGCACCCGTTTCTCTTCGTTATATTACAGTATCACACGTCTAAACTCAACGTGCGTGAAATGGCTTGATATCCCAACCCCATCAATTCCTCTGTCTGCTTAATATCCATCCTTAATATTCCTCACCCTCCCGATTCATGGCTGAACCATCGGAACATCCTATCCTATCCCTCTACCACTCCTCTCCGAGGTGCCATTCTCCTCTTCTCCCCCCCCCCCTTCCCCTCCTCTCCCCCACCCCCCCCTCCTTCCCCCCTTCCTATCTCTCATCAGGACATCCTCATCGTCTTCTCTGCCCTACGGTGAGGTGCCTCTCCACTTCCCCTCGACCAACCCGCCTTCCCCCTTACCCCTCGACAGGACATCCTATCGCTCTACCACCCGTCGCTGCTCTACAGCGAGGTGCCTCTCCACTTCCCCTCGACCAACCCGCCTTCCCCCCTTACCCCTCGACAGGACATCCTATCGCTCTACCACCCGTCGCTGCTCTACAGCGAGGTGCCTCTCCACTTCCCCTCGACCAACCCGCCTTCCCCCCTTACCCCTCGACAGGACATCCTATCGCTCTACCACCCGTCGCTGCTCTACAGCGAGGTGCCTCTCCACTTCCCCTCGACCAACCCGCCTTCCCCCCTTACCCCTCGACAGGACATCCTATCGCTCTACCACCCGTCGCTGCTCTACAGCGAGGTGCCTCTCCACTTCCCCTCGACCAACCCGCCTTCCCCCCTTACCCCTCGACAGGACATCCTATCGCTCTACCACCCGTCGCTGCTCTACAGCGAGGTGCCTCTCCACTTCCCCTCGACCAACCCGCCTTCCCCCCTTACCCCTCGACAGGACATCCTATCGCTCTACCACCCGTCGCTGCTCTACAGCGAGGTGCCTCTCCACTTCCCCTCGACCAACCCGCCTTCCCCCCTTACCCCTCGACAGGACATCCTGTCCCTCTACCACTCCTCTCTGCTGTACGGCGAGGTGCCTCTCACCAGTCGCATGCGGGCCGTGTTCACCTCGGGCCACGTCAGCATCCTCATCGCTGCTGTGAGTCCCTTGCTGTTTCTGCTGTGACTGTAACGAGTGCTTGCTGAATGCTCTACGACAACAAGGCGCCAATAGCTTTCACGCCCTGCCATCCTACGTCCTTTTGTACAGGGACCCGTGCCATAGATGCCATGACATCCCGTACAATCGCACGCCATGCCATGCCATGCCACCATAAGCCACCGCCATGCCATGCCATGCCGTGCCACGCCATTGTGCCGTTTCCATTGCATCCCACGCTACCCCCATGCCATCCATCCGATGGCGTCTCGTATTATCTTATGCCACCATAAGCCACCGCATGCCATACGATCGCCACTCCGCACTCCCCTGTCTTACTGTTCCCCGTCACTGCTCCTGCCCCATTCTGCAGGCTGAGTTTGTTGCTTCCTGTGTGGGCGCGGTGTACTACCTCATAGGGACCAGGTATGGTGCGGTGTACTGCCTCATAGGGACCAGGTATGGTGCGGTGTACTGCCTCATAGGGACCAGGTATGGTGCGGTGTACTGCCTCATAGGGACCAGGTATGGTGCGGTGTACTGCCTCATAGGGACCAGGTATGGTGCGGTGTACTGCCTCATAGGGACCAGGTATGGTGCGGTGTACTGCCTCATAGGGACCAGGTATGGTGCGGTGTACTGCCTCATAGGGACCAGGTATGGTGCGGTGTACTGCCTCATAGGGACCAGGTATGGTGCGGTGTACTGCCTCATAGGGACCAGGTATGGTGCGGTGTACTGCCTCATAGGGACCAGGTATGGTGCGGTGTACTGCCTCATAGGGACCAGGTATGGTGCGGTGTACTGCCTCATAGGGACCAGGTATGGTGCGGTGTACTGCCTCATAGGGACCAGGTATGGTGCGGTGTACTGCCTCATAGGGACCAGGTATGGTGCGGTGTACTGCCTCATAGGGACCAGGTATGGTGCGGTGTACTGCCTCATAGGGACCAGGTATGGTGCGGTGTACTGCCTCATAGGGACCAGGTATGGTGCGGTGTACTGCCTCATAGGGACCAGGTATGGGCAGCGTGCTTAGTAGCGATGAAACACAGCTGCTTACCACTGCGATAAAAGGGCATGTTTATAGATCAGAGTAACTTGATTTTGCAGGGTGTTTTTGAGAATTCTCAAAAACACCCTGCAGAAACACAGCTGCTTACCACTGCGATAAAAGGGCATGTTTATAGATCAGAGCAACGCTCCTGTAACCCCCAAGCACAGACGCCTGTAGCCCTTCCCCAGAACCCGCTAGGGCTCCTTCTACATTTTCCTCTCACTCTGCTCTAATATGCCCCTTGAACTTCCCAAACTCTCCCCAAGCTCTTTCTTTCAGCCTTATACTCCCTCTCTGTGGAAAAAGACGTTTGTGAGGTGAGGACACATCCGATAAGCATTTCCACAGAACACATGATTCTGTACACGTGAATTGTTCCATTAAATGCCCCAGCTGATTTCTAGTATTCCCGAATCAAAGCTCAATGCTGTCCACTGATTTGCGTGCTACCCCCCACCCCCCACCTGCCCCCCATGGGTCAGGGAGACGATGCAGCAGAAGATGGTATGGAACGCGGGCTGTCTCGCAGTCGCCACCTTCTTCATCCTCGTCTTCCTGCTGCGCCTCTACAGGCAAGCTCCCTCCTGCTGCGCCTCTACAGGCAAGCTCCCTCCTGCTGCGCCTCTACAGGCAAGCTCCCTCCTGCTGCGCCTCTACTGGCAAGCCCCCTCCTGCTGCGCCTCTACAGGCAAGTTCCAGGATGACTCAAAACGCACACTTACAGGCAAGCCCCTTCCTCCGCCGAATTTACAGGCAAGTTTCAAAGCAACGCACGACACATGGTCACATGCATGCCATATACAGACTTATGTCCCCCCCCGTCAGAGCTCACCCCGCTCTCCATACTCCCTCGACCGTCTCTCATCCCCCCCTCCCTTCCTTCCACTGTGCAGTGCACCTGTGCGGTGCCTCTACATGTGCTCATATCTGGAGGAGTACTAGAAGAGGCGCCCCTCTCATGTACTCCTCCCCCCCCACCCCCCACCTCTTCCCCCTTCTTCCTTCCCCCTTCCTTCCCCTCCCCCCCGTGCTGTAGTGCGCCCGTGAGGTGGCTGTACGTGTGCTCGTACCTGGGAGTGTTGGACATACTCTCAGGCATTCCCATCTTCGGCACTGGGTGAGTCTTAACCCCTCACACGTGGGTATGCTTGATGTGACATGTGTGGGCCATGCGCTTCACAACATGTGTGGGCCATGCGCTTCACAACATGTGTGGGCCATGCGCTTCACAACATGTGTGGGCCATGCGCTTCACAACATGTGTGGGCCATGGCCATGCGCTTCACAACATGTGTGGGCCATGCGCTTCACAACATGTGTGGGCCATGGCCATGCGTTTCATGTTCTGAGATCCTTCCTTGCTGCACCCATGAGTGCATGCCGCTCCCATGAGTGCATGCCGCTCCCATGAGTGCATGGCCGCTCCCATGAGTGCATGCCGCTCCCATGAGTGCATGCCGCTCCATGAGTGCATGCCGCTCCCATGAGTGCATGCCGCTCCCATGAGTGCACGCTGCTCCCAATGAGTGCATGCCGCTCCCATGAGTGCATGCCGCTCCCATGAGTGCATGCCGCTCCATGAGTGCATGCCGCTCCCATGAGTGCATGCCGCTCCCATGCTGAGTGCATGCCGCTCCCATGAGTGCATGCGCTCCATGAGTGCATGCCGCTCCCATGAGTGCATGCCGCTCCCATGAGTGGCATGCCGCTCCCATGAGTGCACGCTGCTCCCATGAGTGCATGCCGCTCCCATGAGTGCATGCCGCTCCCATGAGTGCACGCTGCTCCCATGAGTGCATGCCGCTCCCATGAGTGCATGCCGCTCCCATGAGTGCACGCTGCTCCCATGAGTGCATGCCGCTCCCATGAGTGCATGCCGCTCCCATGAGTGCACGCTGCTCCCATGAGTGCATGCCGCTCCCATGAGTGCATGCCGCTCCATGAGTGCACGCTGCTCCCATGAGTGCATGCCGCTCCCATGAGTGCACGCTGCTCCCATCAGTGCACACGCTGCTGCCATGAGTGCACGCTGCGGCCATGAGTGCACGCTGCTGCCATCAGTGCACGCTGCTGCCATGAGTGCACGCTGCGGCCATGAGTGCACGCTGCTGCCATCAGTGCACGCTGCTGCCATGAGTGCACGCTGCGGCCATGAGTGCACGCTGCTGCCATCAGTGCACGCTGCTGCCATGAGTGCACGCTGCGGCCATGAGTGCACGCTGCGGCCATGAGTGCACGCTGCTGCCATGAGTACATGCTGCTGCCATGAGTACATGCTGCTGCCATGAGTGCACGCTGCTGCCATGAGTGCACGCTGCTGCCATGAGTGCACGCACGCTGCTGCCATGAGTACATGCTGCTGCCATGAGTACATGCTGCTGCCATGAGTGCACGCTGCTGCCATGAGTGCACGCTGCTGCCATGAGTGCACGCTGCTGCCATGAGTGCACGTTGCTGCCATTGCCCGCTGCAATCAGTTCACAACGGCTATCATTCGCTCAGTGCCTTGTTCACACAGGTGCGACTACTACTCTGTGCGTCCCCTGCTATGCACCTCCCCCACGTGCAGCCTCAACAGCAGGAGTGCAGGTGCCATGTTTCAAGTCGTCTACTTCTTGCAGATGCTCAAGTGAGTCTCAAGGCGTAAAATTGAGAGTTTGCACTTCATGCTGCATTGGAGAAGGTTCCAGTCCTTGGCGTCTTTGTGTCTCGCACTCTTCCTTCCGTCTCTGTCCATCACTCCTCTCAACACCTCCCTATTCCCCCTTTTCCTCTCTCTTCCTAACTCCCAGGCCCTTCACTCGTCTGCAGCAGCTGGGTGTCGACATCACATCCATAACGCAGGAGGTCATCAACCTCATCGTCTACCTCACTTCATTAAGTAACTCACTTAGAAGTTTTGTAATCCGCCTCACTCCACAACGCAAGTGTCTCGAGAAGTGGTCGTCAACCTCAGTGTCCACCTCACGTCACTAAGCAAGTCTTTTAAAATGCTTGAAACGCACCTCGAAGCACAACCAGGACCTCAAGGCTAGGACATCAGTGTTCTACTCTTCTGTCGGCATTCGCTTCTTCCCTGTACCCCCACGCCACAGTATCCACAGCAGCAGCAGGCATCTTCCTGTAGATCACCTACCAGCACCCAGAGGTGCATGCGTCAGTGCTATCCCCCCTCTGCTGTCGCTCCTGTCTCCCTTGTCCGCCCTCGTGTCTCACTTCCCTCTGCCCTCCCGCCACAGTATTCCCAGCAGTGGCCTTCTTCCTGTCACCTACCAGCACCCAGGGGCGAAGTCTTCGTTGTCCCTTCCCTCTCTCTGCATTCCTCTCTGTCCTCCTCTCTCCTCCTGCCACAGTATTCACAGCAGCAGCCATCTTCCGGTGAGTCACCTACCAGGACGCCGAGGTGGAGGCATCAGTGCTATCTCCCCTCCCTCTGTCTTCACTCCTGTCTCCTTTTGTCCAATTTCTTGCCTCCTCTCCCCTCCCGCCACAGTATTCACAGCAGCGGGCATCTTCCTGTGGGTGACCTATCAGAATGCGGAGGCGAAGGCATCAATGACATCTCTCCTCCATCTGTCTTCACTCCTGTCTCCCTCTGTCCGCGCTCTTGCCTCCCTCCCCTCTCCCCTCCCGCCACAGTATTCACGGCAGCGGGCATCTTCCTGTGGGTGACCTACCAGAATGAGGAGGTGAAGGCGACGGGGAGCTGTGAGCCCGTCAACTGCCTCGACTATGCCATGTCGCTCTACTTCGTTGTTGTCACGGTGAGAGGACGTTTGTTTGCTTGCACTGAGCAGTGCTACAAGGACTTACAAGGACTTGTTGCAGGGAGAGCAGCTGTGAGCCCACTCCCCCTGACTAGCCATGTCGCTCTACTTCGTTGTCGTCACGGTGAGGAGGGGTAGAATGCCTTGTTTGCACTGAGTAGTGCTACAAGGACTTAAACGGACATGCTGCAGAGAGAGCAGCTGTGAGCCATGAACTGCCCCCAAATACGCCATGTCTCTCTACTTGGTGGTCGCCACAGTAAGCTTTCCATGCTGCCACGGTGTCTTGTTAGATCCTGATCCTGCCACGGTGACTGGTGCCACAAGGACTTGTTGCAACCTGCCTCTGCCTCTGCCTCTGCCTCTGCCTCTGCCTCTGCCTCTTGTCCCTGTGAGCCCGTCAACTGCCTCGCCTACTGCGCCAGGTCGCTCTACTTTGTGGTCGTCATGGTGGGTGTTAGAGTGCTGCTAGAGTGTCTGCCGAATGAAGTCACTGCGTTTTTGACACAGCGATGCAGGAAGGTGGTGATGGGCATCTTTGCGGTGGCATCATGCCCCTCGCTCTAACACCACATATCAACGGCGGGTATGGCCACCTCTCACGCCGCTCATTCCGACCCCTTTCTCTTGCCTCTTTCACCCTACCCTCCTCCCCCACCGCCACCTCTGCTCCTCTGCCAGATATCAACTGTGGCGTATGGCCACATTACGGCATTCAACCTGAACCCCCTTTCTTCTTCTCATGCCTCTCCCCCCCACGTCTCCCCTGCGCCAGTTATCAACGGTGGGGTTTGGTGACATTACGTCATTCAACGCTGCCGGGCCAGTCATGTGGTGGTGGTATGCATCCTAGTGGCAGCGCTTGCTACCAAATCCCCTCCTCCCCCCCACCCCTCCCTCTCCTTCAAATACCAGATATCAACGGTGGGTTATGGCGACATCTTGGCAACCAACGCAGCGGGGCGAGCGGTGGTGATATGCATCATAGTGGCGGCTCTTATCATCCTGCCCGTGCAGCTCAGCAACATCTCCAACCTGCTTGCTCACAGGTAACCCTCGCCTTTAAGCAAGCCTCCAACCTCCCCGCACACAGGCAAGTCTTGATCGCACTCAAGCCCACAACCACAGCTGTTCTCCGCTGTAAGGTGCCTCCAAGCGCGCAGATGAGCCTTGATAACACTCAGCTGCATCATAGTGGCGGGGCTCATCATCCTGCCTGTGCACCTCAGCAACGTCTCCAACCTCCTCGCTCACAGGCAAGCCTACCACACAGGCAAGCCTACCTCACAGGAAACCCTACCACGCAGGTAAGATTCAATTGCACTCAAGCCCACAGGTGCAGCTCTCGCCGTAAGGTGCCTGCAAGCCCACACATACATGTGCATCATATGGCTGGCGGCACTCGTCATCCTGCCCGACGCCCGTGCAGCTCAGCAACATCTCCAACCTGCTCGCACACAGGCAAGTCTCCCAATAAGAATAGGATGAGGATAGATAGGGGAATCTTTCCAAGCACTTTTGGTGTTCCGCATTGGCCTTGCAGTGCAACGTTTGCCATCCAGTAACCTCCTTCATCTGCCGCCCTTCATCTGCCGTCCTCTTACCTCCTGCCTGCCTCAGGCCATATGGGGGAAGGTTCTCAGCAGCTTCCGCCACAGGCATGCGCTTTGTGGTGCTGACGGGGCAGCTCTCTCTGCTCTCCATCCAGCAGTTCCTCGCTGAGCTCTACCACCCGTTACATGACAAAGGTAGCCTCCCGCTACATGACAATGATTGCCACCCGTTACATGACAAAGGTAGCCTCCAGTTACACGACATAGGTAGCCGCCCGCTACATAACAAAGGTAGCCACCATTACATGACAAAGGTAGCCGCCC